TTTCTATGTGCGCATTTAACATTTGCTCGAACGGTGAAGAAAAGAATCGTGAGGAAACCGACATGTCTAAGACCCAAAAAAAGTCGACGGCGTGTGTTAGGCACTGGAGGCTGATCACCTACTTGCCTATTAGATTTAAAAATGATCATGAAACAGATTCAGATCTGAGGCCAAGACCTAAAGAGGGTGTAGCGCCACTGATTTATTTATTTATTTAACATTGTCAATAAAGGCTATATTTATTTATTTATTTAAGCCTAGTTCTACTAGTAATGGGGCACGAGACCTGGTCTAGTATTAATAGGAAATAATTGCTGCTATCCACTTTTGTACTGACTGGACATAAAAAAGGCTAACTGAATTAGATTTTCTATTTTTAGATTACTTAGTAATATAGAAATAAACTATTCATCTACTGCAAAAATTAGTAAATCATTTAGCGTGACTGTTCCATATTTGGTAGTAACGAAACTCCACAATGACCAGTGTCATTTACTGCATTTGGTAGCCTCAACTCAAGTAAATTTAATAAAATTTTCATCATCAAAAATTATGAGCGCGACGTAATTAATCAGGAGCGTAATTAATTAATGGAATTAATAAATCATTGCATTTTTCGAATCACCGATGCACACGGCGTCCCGTCAATTGCACGTTGAAAATCAGTCTGCATTAATTTAATTATTGATGTGGCGAAAACATATGAACTCAACTTTTTAATCATGAGAAAAGTTGCATAGATAAATAAGTATTCATTCATATGGAAAACAAAGTACAAGAATGTATCTTTATACGTATAAATCTTATTTGTTTCATAGACTTGATTCAAAGATGTGTGCGTAGTGTTATTTTTGATAAGCACGAGTTTATGAAGCTCTGTAAGTAAAAATTCCGCATCGATATCTTTGAAAGTTTTTCAACATCGGGGCTACCAATGTATGTACCTTTTTTAGTATTGGTATATCCTCATAATGTACTAGAGTGTGGCTAATGAGAGAAGATAAAGAATAAGCGCGGCAAGTTCAATAATTTTTAGTATGGTATCCCTAAAATTTTGATATATTTGGTGGATTAAACTTACTTGATTTTATTTTATTATTTTTTACATTGATAGTAACGTATTTAGTCTTTTACTATTGGTACTAAACCTCTGGAAAATAAAACTATATTTTTTAAAACAAACTTTATTCCGAATAATCAAAATGAGAATCCAAAAAATCAATATGCATAGATTCATCACTGTCTCTCACATTGATTATGAAAATTTCTAAATGTTTAGGCTATTATACCAGTTAACTATACGGAAAAAAATATATAATAGAAATAAAAAAGAGTAATTGCATGAAGTATCAAGACAATAAATCATACTAACGTAAGAAATTCAATGACATTCTGTGTTGCCATCCGAAAGTTTTCAAATAATTCAATTTTTTTTTTCATTAGCCAGACCAGTATTGTAATGAAACGAGGTTCTTCAGAACACGTCGATTTAATATGAGAGTTGGTACAATACTAATCTATAATACAATATCAATACATTTATATTAGGCACACAAGCAAGTTATTAACCTTCTGTGATCACACATTGTAAATTTTGGGTCTAAGGCAACGGATTTTTCACCATTGGTTTCACCCAACGCGCGCAACCCAAAATGTTCTCAGTTATCTAATCTATTTTTTAATTCAATTTAACTAATTTCTTCTTTGAGAAACTGCGAAGAGATCTATGGCATCGAAAGTCTAGTTTAACTAATAATTATCTAATAAAAGTGAATATCATATTTTATTTAAAATATAATTGCTTATTTTCGAGCAATCTTTCAATTGTTATGTATACTTGAACAATTATGGTGTTTGTTAGAATTTTATTTATGTCAAGGTTTTTAGCAGAGCTTTGTAATTAATAAATATTATGAAATTATAGCCTTGCGAACACTTTGGAAAACAATTTCCGCTGAGTAAGTTGTGGTAAAACTTGTCTATCGATTCCTATATTTTATTAAGGTATTCGAAGTCCCATGTTTGCGTCCATAGGGAAATAGCACTAAAATGTACTGTAATGTATGGAGTTGAATTCATATTATCGTGTGTTTTATCCAACAGGAGGCAAACTAGCTGGTGGGTCACTTAAAGTGACATAAGTAAGACACCTGCAGATCTATAAGTACGTTGACGGCCTCAAAGGTACTGGTACGATATTTTCCTGAAGTAGTAAGGATTAAATAAAATGGCCTAAATACCTGACAGCTGGTTCCATAAATTGGTTCAAGAAATGTCTCAAAAAGAAGTCAAGATATGACATAAGATGATGAAATTTAGCCGCAGGTATTTATCCGAAAAGTTCTTCGGAACACTCCCCATAATATATTATATAGATAAGTAGATAGCACCTTCATCTCTACGCAATGGACAAGGATCTAAATAAGAAATAAATCAATGGCGCTACAACCATTTTAGGTCTCGGCCTCAGATTTCTGTATCTGTTTCATGATCATTTGGTAATCTAATAGGCAAATAGGTGATCAGACTTCTGTGCCTGACGCACGCCGTCGACTTTTTGGGTCTAAGGCAAGCCGGTTTCCTCACGATGTTTTCCTTCACCGTTCGAGCGAATGTTAAATGCGCACATAGAAAGAAAGTCCATTGGTGCCCAGCCGGGGATCAAACCTACGACCTCAGGGATGAGAGTCGCACGCTGAAGCCACTAGGCCAACACTGCTCGGACAAGGATCTAACTGATAAGAAATAACAAGGTCGTCGACGATTCGATTCTTACCGTCATAAGAACAGTGTTGGTCTAGTGTCTTCTAGATCAATAATTACGTGATGGTGTGATACAATTACAGCCATGCACTAATTGATTTATGTGTTTAGTTGAAACTCGCTCGTATGATAAAAGAAAACATCTTGAGGAAACTGGCATGCATTAGACTAAAAAATCGCCTTGCCTATTAAAAAAAATCAAGAAACAAAGAAATCTGAGGTTAAGAGCAAAGATTTTTTGTTTTAAAAGTATGGTGAAGAATCATTATGACAATTCCAGCTTGGATTGTACTTAATATGTTTCGAAATTCACTAGAGTTCTCGAGGTGAAGATGACCGAGACTTTCTTTGTGCCCATACTTACAAAGAACTTTCTTTTCTTTACTACAGTCTACTTTAAATAGTGTTTTATTCCATGATTGCGTCGTCAATGTGTGTAACTTTTTTAGCGTTAAAAGGTGCTTAGGTATATATTATGAAATTAATATATGCTGCACCACCAAAGATAGTATGATCTGAGGAAGGTTAAGCAGTATATTTCTATATAAATTTAGTAACTATTATTTTAGAAGAGGTCTCAAAATATCATACCAAAATACACGAAAAACACGCGGGTTTCGCTCCGCCTATCCAACTTAACATTATAGAAAGCTTGTACTTATATGAGGTATATAGATATCTAATACCTGTGAAGGCTATCTGATACCAGAAAACAAATAGTTGCTGGTGTATCTAATACAGGTAGACTCAACATATTCATTTCTGTGTTGTTTAACAGTAAATTTATAGCGTCAACGAAGTGTTCAGTCGTCTGTATTTTCCATAGCAAAACAAATACAGTTTCGCCAAGGACCGTCCGCATGCGTTTGACTACCTGTGTAATAAAATACTGAGTATAGGTCAGGCTTTATTGATATAGATTGAATTTTTACACATACAACAACAAACTGTTATGATTATTCAAATAAGATTCATATTGTAATAATACTATTTTGTTAATAGACTTGGGGTAGATTTAAATAATATTAATAATAAAAAATACTCTTATATTTTATTTGCTTTATTGAATCATAAGTAATAAAAAACGCTGTCGTTTCATTACATTACTTTTTACATCAAAAATCAACACTGTGAAAAGAAAATTTTAACTTAAATATACGTATACAAAATAGATAAAAATAAGATAGTACAACTAAAAAAATACTACTGGATGTAAATTATCCTAATTTCACGGCTATTTAGAATTTATAATTGTAAATAACTTCTGATATTTCGCGTGAGAATATTTGAGTCAAAATCTAAAATTGGGATTCAATCCAATACAGAGTATCTTCTGCGTGATATTCACGTTAAAACAATATATTTAACTAAAAGCTTTTGTATAATAATGAAATTAATTAAGTTGTTTGATGTCTACACGTACCATCTTAAAAGTAATAAATCTTTAATTAACTAACTAATATAATACATTTTTACATTAGAGAATTGACTATCATTTGCCCTACCGAATTATATATGAATTATAAATTTTGATTACTGGTATATCTTTGGTACATCTTTGGAAATTAATTTTTAAATACATTTACAAGAATTTGATTGGGAATTTTCAATAAACTTTCATAAAACAGTGTTCAAAGGCTTCAAAAGCGTATTTTAATTACAATATTACAAATTTATTTTAAATTAAATTATAGCCATAAATATATTGTAGATACAAGCATAGATATGTAATCTCTTTTAAAAAACATGTGTGAAAGAAAATTACGGTTTCTGTTTACCCAATACATTAAAAAGATATAAATAAACAACACATTTTATTTATAAAATAATAATTATTACTAATGAGTTAATTATCGGCTAACAGCCATCATATATTTTCTTTATGTACACATTACTTAAATTTACAAAATTTAGGACATAATTTTTATAATGATAGTTATTTTATACCTAACTATTTTAGTCTCACAGAAGCCATCGGATTATATTCGCTATTGGGTTCATTATTGTCCACAATATGAAATCATTGATGATTTTATGAGAAAATTAAGCAAATCTATATTAGGAAAATAACCCTTGAAAAATTACAGTATTATAAACGATAAATATTTCGTTTTAAATGCAACATTACTAAACGCATTTAGAACTCGACTAATGTGAAGTTAGCTATTAATTACTTGATGTCCACTATCATGAAGTTAGGTGATTAAGGCAAATCCGAGGCTTGTTTATGTAGTTCGTTACACACAGCTTTCCTGGTGTGCTGCTAGCAGCGGCGTTCTCGTAGTTACCACTTCTCTGTGGGATCGGACGCCACCATTACTGCTTCGATCATTCTGTAACAAAAATAAATATATTATTTGTTAGATACATTAAAAGAAATAATGTATCGCTTGTATACAAAAATTTCTAACAAGAAGCATTCCAGACTAAATTCATCCTGGCTTAACTCTATTAAGATTCGCCATAACACATGAAACTAGTACACAAGTGTATTCGTTGACTCAAGTGAGCACTATAGTCCATAACTCTCATAGTGGATGTCGGACCCGATAGATACGTGAGGTTAGGCGGTAAGTTTGGGCACCTACTATTTGAATTTTTTTTCCTGAAAACATCACAATGGTAAACTTATATAGTTCGTCCCACGAGATTTCCCAAGACCTCAAAGCCATGCCAGCGTTATGAAGACAATGTTAAATCAAGCTGCATTAATGAAAAAGGTCAAAAGTTTTAATATAATCAAAATACGTAAGAGCAAATTGAAATGTATCTCAGAAATAAAATTTTACATTTATATTAAAACACGAAATACCTTAACTATATTACTCACAATAACGAACAGTACAAGTTTATAATTTTAATTGGAAACCTCTCTGGACGGGTAAATTAGGAAAAATACTTATTTCCTTTAATTATACATTTCTTTGAGCGATTTTAATGAGAGTATCAATACAATCGCTCTTCATTACACTGCGAAGTTTTTAAAATTGGAACGCAGCATTCAAATTTCGAATAAAATATGTTAATATTTGTAAAGTGTGCTCAATCATTATAAAAATTATTCGACCATCCATAGAGTACGTCCGTTTCGCCCACTGCGCACATTTATCACGTTTGACAATTTGCAATTTAAATACAATCTTTCGTGTTCATTATCTTTGTGTAATTTACATTAAAATTGCTCTGGAAAATTAAGTGACTCATTGACCGTTTTCAATGATAATATTTTTTTAAGTATTACGATTTTCAACTAAACAATATTATATTCCTTACAATAGGAGCGGTGTTAATCTAACAGTCGGTCGATTGTTGACACTGAGTTAGTGCATTTGAACTCCGGCTTTATAACAAAGATATGAGATTTTTTCTAAAACACTATTGGGTTGGTGTTAAATACCACCGCACTTTTTGACGATACTAATTATCTAGGAGTTCGGGACTTCATGAACACCTCCAATGAGTTTTGCTCCGAAACGCGTCTAAATATTTTTATAAAAAATTTAAAGTTTTGTGTAATGTATTAAAATTTGTAAACAATCCGCCATTTTCTACTTTTCTATTGGTTATAAGTGATGTGACGTTCACTTAAAAAAATCGTGTTTTTAATTTATCGATTGTTAATAATCGTTTTATTTATTTATCGATTATTTCCTCATTTTTGAAATTTAAAGTTATAGAATAATCAACATTGAAATTAACCTAATTTCGTGTTGATAGATTATAGGGTTCCGAATTTTTGAAATTATCGATACCTACTCGTCTGTATTTTCTAATTAGTACTTGTATTTCATTGTTTGCAACTTTCTATATTATTTAATTTTTACTAGAATAAAGTGTTTACTTTAATATCCAAAAAGTACCCAAAACCGAATCAGACACCCCACTATCCACGTGGTCTTGTCTGTCTTACCCTAGAGTGTATATAAATAATCGGAGGCCGGAGGAAGAGCAGCCCCCACCCGCTGTAACAAAGCACAGGCATTATGAAAGCTGTAGCGGCTGAGGCTGGTCGCCGAAGGCGACCAAAAACCGAGGTTGCGGAGGCATGAATAAAATGCCTGTGCTTTGGTACGCAAGGGTGGAGGGGCTCATTTCCCTCAGCGCCGGAGCTGTCCACAAAAACAAATATTATTTAGATTGGTTAGGTTAGAGTTAGTATATGAATATTTGTGCCAAGGCACCAACCCGAGAACCGAGGCTTGAATAAACAATTACTATTTAGATCGGAGCTGTCCACAAAAAAATATTATTTAGATTGGTTAGGTTAGAGTTAGTATATGAATATTTGGTCGCCGAAGGCGACCAGGACCCGAGAAGCCAGGCTTGAATAAATTACTATTTAGATCGGAGCTTCCACAAAAACAAATATTATTTAGATTGGTTAGGTTAGAGTTAGTATATGAATATTTGGTGCCGAATTTTCAATTATTTTTAATATTAAAATCGAATACAAAAATCGATTTTCACTTTTAAAAAAATCGATTATTTTTCACATCCCTATTAATTTTATAAACTTAATCGGCCATTTTGAATGTGGTTTATGCTAGACTAGCGGTAATTAGTTTTACAGTGCAAAGTTTACTTTATAAATCTTTATAAAATTTTTGACGCGTTTCCGGAGCAAAACTCACTTGGAGGTGTTCCAATGAAGGTCCTCCGAGACTCCTAAATAATTAGTATCGTCAAAAAAGTGCGATGGTATTCAAAACTGTTACCCACTATTTTGACCGGATTGAAGTTATGTATTATTATAAATTTACAACTATTTAACATAATTTTAAATTTATCCGACGTTTCGCGTGCTTTACAGCGTGCGTGGTCACGGTGACTGAAGACAAAAAGATGTTGAATGTCAAAAAGTATCACAGCTGCAGAGAAAGTTGCATTATCTGTATTTATTTCCCCGGAGTTGGTATCGACTAAAAGATGGAGGGGTCAAAATAGTGTTTTATTAAATGAATAAAAGTTATGTTAATCAAAGACAATACTAGATTTTTTCTATATTCTTAATTCTTTGGTGCAATGAAGAAGGAAATTATCACGATATGTATCGATTTCTTTTTTTAACGAATTTTCTTAAAATGTACATCAATAAGTACTTACAAACCTGTAATTCATTTTTCTGCGCAGGGGGCGTGTTGGGCGACTGCGTACGCGCAACACTGTTATTGCTCGAAGAATTTTTCACTTCCGCTTTTGATACCACCTCAGAATACTCTGGTGGCTTAGGGCAGTCTGTATCTAACAAAGAATTATCATTTATTATTATTATTAATTTTCCTTTGTTGATTATGGTAATACCCCCATTGGAAATTTAACTATCTAAATCAACTTTTAGTCGCTCCGTGTGTTATATACTGAGGTCCAGTTGCTCTTGTTTTGACTTTTGTTGACTTATTTCAATTTAAACTGGATAATTGGTTTGAGAATATATGGCTAATATCCTAGTCACAGTCTGTTTTAATATAAAGATGTTAAAGATAAATAAAAATATATATATTACCTTTTTTGTGAAACAATTAGATATTGAATTAAATAGACCGAAGAAAGCGTAATTCCTATAATCTTTGTTTTTTAAACTTCAATTGCGAAGATTGGTTTCGCTACAACAACTTTCAATAAAGATTAAGTTTCACTTACAAAGTTTCGGGGATATCAAAACAATAGAAACCAATACTGAAGGTTTTAAGTTCATGGAATATAAATTGGTCCATTTCAGTCCAATTTATATACAATTAGACGTTTTGAATCTTTGTCTGTTCTATTAAGACCATTTTTTTTTATAGAACAGGGGGCAAACGGGCAGGAGGCTCACCTGATATTAAGTGATACCGCCGCCGATGGACACTCTCAATGCCAGACGGCTCGCGAGTGCGTTGCCGGCCTTTCAAGAATTGGTAAAAAGGGACTTTATTTGCTTAAACTTAGGTCTGGTGGGCTTGGCGTCTCCCGCCTGGCCTGTGCGACTACTACTCCGGAAATATCCTCAAGATATTTATGTTGTTTATGTTTTTGTAACCTTACAAAATAATTTCGGTACTTATTATTTTGAACAAAATTGTCATAAACATATTTTGTAATACGCATAAAGTAATGTTCAAAGCCCATGCATTATTTTTGAGTAGTGCAGATTTATGATAGGCATGGGAATCATAGCGAGACCGCGGAAAAAGTCAGTCTTTTAACAAATAAGAGTGAAGACTTTTTATAATTTATATCATCAGAAAATTTTTACATAAACTATGAATTGATGTTCCAGAAATTTTGACAGAATAATATTTCCGACCAATATATCTCAGATGTCGAATTTGATATAATTAAACGAAACAATAAAATTCATATGGTGTGTGGTTTAAAATATTGTTACAAATAACGGCAATCAAATATACTGACAATAGTATTTAATTACATTAAACAGATACTGGATACCTCAAGACTAGAAAAAAACGGGGTGAAAGTTAAAAGAAAACAAAAATAAAACTTTATTTTATGCTGTAATAATATTTCTTGCATTTATTACAAGGCATTTAGATAAATTTTATATTCATAGATATAGATTTTATTGAGGTTATACTTCTTTAGGCGCGTTATGAAAAATTTATGAGAGTGAAATTTTACAATGCCACCTAAAAAATTAGGAGTGTGATTATACTGAGCGAATAGGAATAAAAATCTACAAGTAAAAGAAATAGAATATCTGAAGTTCGTATCCAACAATTTTGAATGACCATAATGACATTTGTCATTTACCTTTTAAACAAATAAAGGAGTTTTAATTATTTTTTCAAAGAAATTTAGCGATGCTTTTTGAATTATAATCAGAAGTGATTTAAATTGAATATTTAAACCAATACTAATTAATATTTGTGAAAAAACTGTGCTCACCAACCTTCCTAAGTGCTTCAATACAATTGAGGTTAACTATCCGTATGTATTATTATTATTATCGAGTAATGTTTTGATTAAAAAATTAACCACATTGTTTAATCAAAACATGTAATTTTTCTGATTTTATCTAGCAAATATAAGGAAAAGAGACAAAAAACAATTGATGAATCAGTGTAACTGCACTAAATTGAATACAAAAAAGAGTTTTCATCTTATCGCTGTGAAACATCAAAAACTGGAGGTGGAACAAAGCCAAACTATTTTTAATATTGCCAAAGAAGTATAACTTCTTACGCGCGTACATAAGTACACGGACCCTTTTTTTTTATTATATGCATATGCGACTTTTATAGTATTTTCAGCTTATATTTTTCCTGTTGGTAATTATTTTCACTTAAAAACAGGTCCGCAGATAAATACATTTTATATTTTACCTTTGATTTCAAGTTAAATGTTAATTGAAACGTAATAACATTAAGCCTTTAATATTGGGAAATGAAAATGTTATGTGAATGTGAAAACTAGTAGTCTTAATCTACTTATAGATAAAATAAAATATTGCAGACTTTATTGACGACGTATATTTTCAATTTATTAACAGACATTTAAGTTGTAGATATTTATATCTCCATTTCACAGATCTTAAAAAAATCGGTTGTCTGTAAAGTCGGTTTACTGACGATAGTTGAACGTGACAACGTCGTAAGAAAATACTGATGGAATGGTTGCATTTTTCAAAAGAAAATTTTAATTTTATTTGTTTGATAGATATTTTGTATTGATATAGAGAACGAGGTAAATGGAAATCACAATTGAATTAATCAAGTTACATTTATTTGTACGCATAAATACAATTATGTCAATTTTTAACGAACGAACGCTGCCGAATGCGAAGGCCGATTGTGCCTCTTTGTCGCTCGTTCCGCGCTCTCGTTTACACTTCAAGCCTTAAATGGAACGCCTCAGAGCGATGTAACGCCGCATGAGTCATGTTTTTTCGTGCGTGCAGCCGGCTTCATCGAATTATAAGACGTTGTCACGTCAAAAATGCCTATGTTTAAAAAATGGATATGCGAACGTAGAAAACGGTGAGGTGACCAATAAAATTATTCTCACATCATTTTTAATAAGTAACTAAATAAACGGTTTAACTGTACATAGTGAACAATTATTTAATTTCTTTACGCAATATTTAATTACGTCTAATAGGTGCACGTTACTACTAGGATAATGTTAATAAATCCTCTTACTGAGTGTGGGATGAAAAATATTCCCCTAATTAAAGATCGCTACTAATGAACTGCTACAAAATAGCGTAAGATAAAGTAGGGACATATTATGTGGGTCCATTCCGCCTAATGACATGATCCTATCATGAAACGGTCCATGCGATAGAAATGTCAAAGATATATTTACCCAAGATTATCTTTGTCTTTTCAGAAGCTGTATTAAGAGTTTTGGCCTAGTGGCTTAACCATGGCCGTCAAAACCCTTTGATTATGTTCGAATTTCAGATGTGAAGCAATGTATGTTTCGTTCTATGTGAATATTTAACACATGCCGTACGGAAAACGTGCAATTCGAGGTTGTAGCGCCAACTTATCTTTATATTCATCAAAGCTCTACATTTCATATTTCTCTAAAATATTTATTTAGATTGAAAATACCTTTGCTAAGTGGGATTAAATCTGGGTTGCAGTCATCTGGTGAAGTCCTCTTTTGTAGTGGCGTTTTTTGATTCTTTGATGATTGCATTGTAACTGCAAAAATAATTATTTAGAATTATTTGTAGTGTTGAGTTTGTTAAATTGTATAGCATATTTACCACGCAATTGGAAAAGCTATTTGTTGGTCTGTAAGTGTACGAGTATATCTTAGGTAAGGACCTAAGGTAGGTTATCTAAGAAGGAATAATCTAACATGTAGATACATTTCCTTTAATGATTCTTTGTTAGCAAATTGATTGTTATTATTTCACAAGAAATCAAACCTAAGACCTTTGCATTAAAATGTGATCTGATCAAGAACTGCAATGATTTCGTGTAACGTATACAAGATTAAATATACGACAAAGAAACACGACTAATTATATACATTATTCGTTAGAAGTTATTAGTAATATCAAATATTGCCCTATGATGTAACGCTACGCCGTAGAACGAATACGTTGTAGCAAGTTTGTAGCCCCTCTTGCTTCTTATTTAATCAGTCTTACAACACTGTTTTCCCTAAAGCTCCTCGGTCTCTTTTCATCACAGTGTAAACCCAATTTGACTGAACGAGATGAATGAGTAGGTACTTCACACATTTAATTTTTAATTCATTTCTTGTATTTAATGGAATACTATATTATATTGCATTATCATATTTAACTAAACCTATTTAATATTGAAAATTAATTATTAATAAACAATTTCAGTATCCTTGTATATAATTCTTTTAAACAAATTAATGTGTATTCAAATCACGAACGCGCATACAAGCTGCATTTAGAGTAAAATTGATGACACATACTTTGAACCCTTGTCACGTTATCAAAACATATTTACGTTGAATTATATGTAAAGCAACGTTTAATATAGTTGTTGTGAAATTGATTTTATTATTCTGATACCAGATTGTGTTAGATATAGAATTGTTTAATGATGCGTTTAACTTATTGTATTTTATTATTATTTATTACTTAAGATGTCATGTGGAACAAGGTGTAATGGTTGCAGCTCCTTACAAACGTTGTGAAAACAAAAAACTTGGCGATTAAAAAGATTGGTGGATAGTTTATTGCCAGTTCTTCTCTTCCGTTCTACGCGCTCGATTTGAGAACTGGCAGTAAATGTAAAATTAGAAGCATTTAATGTATATTTCTTTTTTGACGTTCATAAGTGTACATTTTGTATTGTGTACATTGTTACCTATATATATAAATGATTTTTGACTCTTGACTTTTGACTTTGACTTTTTAAATAGGATCACTGATTTTAAGCTTGGAATCCCAATTTTTTATACTAAGTACCTATACGGTTCCTGGCTTCAGGGATTATATAATAGACGATATTAATATAACTGTATGACACACATTTAAATAAATAGAATTTGGTTTCTGTAGCTGGACTGAAGACATAGATATTAACCAAATCGTTCGTGGAAGTTATAATGATTTGAAATCAATCAAAGAAATTATAATATTTAGTCTAGTTTAAACTATGTATTTTGATAACTAACTGTAATGGTTAATTTATTATATAAAGGTAAGTAATAATATAATAAAAAACGTCAAAATAATTCTGAATAAACCGGTTTCAAATGGCAAGACATGACACAAACCTTCATAGTTACTGCTGTGGCGTAGCCGCGTTGCGATGAGGGCTAGGCACAGTATTATTGCAACTGTAAGTGCCGCTCCCAGAACTCCGCCAACCGCCCAGTTCACTTCCCAGGCTTCTTGGGCGTCTAGAAAAATAAAATTCTAATTATGAAAATATTGATCTCAATTCAATCATTAAATTCACCAGAATTATTAATCTAATACATAAAAATCTCGTGTCACAATGTGCGTTCCCATACTCCTCCGAAATGGCTCGACCGATTCTTATGAAAATTTTAGGCATATTCAGTAAGTCTGAGAATCAGCTACTTTCAAACCACTAAATGTAAAGAATGGTTCACCCATAAATTTTATTTTTATTTTTCGACAAAAATTTTCGTTTTTATTTTTTTATGATATATCATACAAAAATACACACAACCCTTAATTTTCACCCCTCTACAATCAAACCCTATTTTTTACTTGTTAGTTAAGAACTTATAACTTGAACTCTGAGGTTTATATAGAGAAAAATAACAGAAAACCCTAAAACGTTTTCATTCTGGAAAACCGAATAGTCTCTTGGGTAGCATAGTAAAATGTTCTATGTTGATATGTACTAAAAAGGTAGCCTACCTTTTAGGCATTAAAGAGAAACGAAGTTCGAGGGGGCAGCTAGTATTCTATAAAATAGTTTGATTTGTAAAATAAAAGTGACTACATTCCTTGGTCTCGTGTTAAGATTCTTTGATAGTCCTGATTTATAGGCAAGTAGGTGATCAGCCTCGTGTGCCTGTGGTTTATTGTACCGTATACGCAAGTATTAATTGCAGATATAATCTATTGAATTATAGTCACTTACAACTGCTTCAAGCTAGCGACACGTCCGGAAGCATTATCACTTAATTTTATTTTAACTAAATCCATCTATATACTTGCGTAAATAAAAGTTATATAAAAAATACCTTGTTACATTATAAATGTGTAATATTAGGTCAGAAACCAGTTAACCATATCTTAAAAAAATTCAACCAACATGGACTGTTTCCGAAGTTATTGAATATGACTTATGAGATATTAGTGGATAAACTTAAGGAACTATTAGCAAACGTAGTGGGAATTCTAAATAATCATCATACTCTAATGAGTACCTATATAATACTTAAAATAATTTATAATATAAATACTAGATAATAGTTTATCTAGTTCCAATTATATCACATTCAGTTACATAGGATAGGATACTTTTTAAAGCCGGTGAAGTTGCTTTGATGTAAATGAATCCTTTATAATAAAATAAAAAACTTTAGAGGTGTCAAGGGACACCCGGATGGAACGAAATTCCTTTCGATTAATTTATATGTTAATTGGTATCATAACAGTATGATAGATTATCTCGACACCAATCTTACGACGAAAAAAAAAGCCAACATCACGAGGTGTTCCCAGGCGGTCACCCATCCAAGTACTGACCTCAGCCGACGTTGCTTAACTTCGGTGATCGGACGAGAACCGGTGTATTACAATAGCGAATAGCAAAAAAGTGTCGTCACAACTTTTCGTAAGAATTTTTTCCGTCTAGCCCCCTTTCACAACGTGCGATAAGGAACTTCGTTCCAATAATATTTTGAGAACGAGGCCAACTCCATTAGCTTACGGTATAAGGCGGATTATATTTGTGAGCGATTTACTTGTGTTTTATTAATTACTTAAAAATACTCTGAATTAAAATGTCTTTTATTATTCAAAATTGAAATAAACATATAGAAGAGCTCGCGAAAGCCTTTATCTTAAACAATATTGATCCTTAAGAATGTATATGCCAAATTTAAACAAGTCATTGTTATTAGTTTCTTGTGTGCTCAGTGGTGCTATAACATTATGGGCCTTGGCCTAGGATTGTAAAAGGTCTTCTGTACCTAAGCATTTCATAGATTTTTGCATACCAGTGTCATTGTTTACATTTACTGTATGATCAACTTCTCATAGAAAGGATGAGAAGTATTTCTATTTAAAAAGCAATAATGAAGTATAACTCGCAAGATTTCAAAGTAATTATGGACCAATCTTTCTGAAAGCCACAAATGCGTTCCGAACGAGACATTATACGATAATCACAAAATTGGAGCCAAAAGAGAGTTGTATGTATTATTGCAATATATCTTATTTGGGGAAGTTATGATTTCAGTCCATTGTTGCTTGATTTTATTATTGTTTATATTTATTGTTAAAATAAATAATAATAATAAAAACTTTATTAATGACAGAAGGGTTTGTGACAGAAATCATAAATCGCTAGTCCCCACACTAGGGAGGCCCTGTGTTGTGGGTAACTAGAAAACAATTATTTCGTGGTACTTGTTTAAATTTGTTAAATAATAAAAAAGAAAAAATAATAATAATTTTCTTATTTTTTCAATTATATAAAATAAAAATTGCTTAGTTTTAAATATCTTCTTTTGTACCTATTTAATAGTTAAGAATTAAAGACTATTAACAAATATTATTATGACCAAGCTGAGCAAATTAAACAAGTTGCTCAATCATAACTTTTAACACTGCGTACAGTTCAGATGATTCAGTGCTCGGTGGAGAATTGTGGTAAAAAGACGTTGTCTCAGAGATTGCCTAGTCCAGCTTTAAGTTCTTTTACAAAGAAAATGCATTTTTTTAATGAAGTAATGTAATGTTATTAAAATGTATACATTTTAAAGTCTCAGCAAATTATATACTATTTTCTTTGACACATTTTCTATATTGTGATTTGATAATGAACACGAAAAAACATGTGAAATTACGCAAAATCGAAATAAGTGTTTAAAATAATATACGTGTTCCAAATTTAAAATAATTAAAAAGTTGAAAAAAAGAAAAGTTTTTCCAGATTGGTTAATAAGGTAAAACCCCAGAACTTGTTGCTCAATGTAATTTTTTATTTAATTTGTAAAAAAAAAAAAATTATATTCTGCGGGAGTTACTCCTGTGTTTTGTACTCGCTGTTTACCCACTTAACGTCCATGAAACACGTTTGTGCCTATATCGATACAGAGAATATTTCACTGACATATTCGTATATTAATTATTCACTGACAATATAGTTAACAACAAAAAAGTTCTTACGTATATATTAGAAACTGTACCCTCTACAAAAAATTATTGCGAAAATACAATTTTCTAACGCTAAGTCAACGAATTACTTATGTAATTGCACTACCCTTAGAAAAATTAGCACTAGCAAGCTGATACCCTCCGAACTCGTCGGTAAACTAAACTTTCATGTTTCAGCTAGATCTCTTCGCTCATGCAATACAGCCTCCTGCGCGTTATATAAAAAAATGTGTAGTAATGTCGTGTTTTGAGGCCCAGACCAAAAATATTGGCGGGAGTGATTTATTTTATTTTAATGTAGTTTTTAGTGCCACCCTACATCGACTGTGATATTTTTTACCATTTCACTGTTGGTGGGGTTTTTTCAATGTTGATAGGTTTTCGTGCTCCCCTAGTGCTTTCACGCTCCATGTAAAATAATTTTTGTATTTATTTTGAATGTACTCAAAGTTGCTGTGTTGAATTACTTGTATTTTTAAAGTAAAAACTTCTTTAGCGGCGTTGTACACTTTTTTTGGAATGGGTAAAATATGTTAAACTCGCGTCAGGACACGTGACCTGATCGAAAATTCGTAAGACGGATGGAGAGTAGACAGCTGGCGCGACGTATTTAATGTAATAAAAATTGTCATGTTTGTGTACGATAGCGCAATAAATAAATATTGTTTTCTACCACATAAATGATAATTAAAGCAATTCGTGCAAAATTATTCCCTAACCTCGAAAATATTAAAAATGCACAACGTTAATATTCAAGTTTTCACTTCTGCCGGCACTCTCGGGGTGCAACCTATAGTTTTTTTTAAATATATTTTGTACTTGTAATCTATCTGTTATGTTTCCTTATTTTATATATTTAAAAAAAATAACATTAATATTACTGCAATTTATATTATCTGATTAGTAGTTGTATCTTAAAACGGAACATTATTTTGCCCATATTCTTCTTCACCTAACTTATAATATTTAATTAACTTTAGCCCCGACTCTGACGGCTTAAAATTGTTTTCAGTTTTGACAAAATGCTGCTTTGAGCCGGAAATTAAAGAGATTCCGCGTTTAAACGACCTTGTAAAATAATTTTTAAAGATTATTTTTGAGAATATTTATTAATTCTTGGATCAGATTTAAAGATAAGACGCAAAGTTTATTTATGATTTGCTAACTCATCAGGTACCGGTAAGTAGTTCTACATAGATGATTTTGGTACAAGTACACCATTCGCATTTCACATATACGTACGTGTACTACTTATATCTGTTGACGATGTCACGTTTAAATAGCGACCATAATATGAGGTAACCAAATTAATAATTAGGTACGTTAAAAATACTTGATATCAAACGTTAAAACTTTGAAAATAATATTTTTATTTTCGAAAAAAATTACCTATTTTTCTTATTATGACGTTTTATACTTGTATATGACTTTTTATGAATGAAAATGTATGGGAAAATTAAGCTAACAAAATCGTAGTCAATACCTGGTAATATAATCATACATTACTAAAATACGAATAAATATTTACTTTAAAAATATATCAACTTGAAATAAAGCTTTTAAGGTATGCGTTTTAACTTTTAATTCACTTATACGTTGCGATATTTATGTACTCCCACAGGAGGCCCATATAATATAGTAAATATATGTGAAAAGTTTGTGGAGGGCATGGGCGTTAATTGTAGTAAGTAACCTTTTTGTTATTAATCTATGTAAAATCGTCTTTACCACAACTGACCAAAACGTTCACATATAATTACTATATGTCTGATTAATATTATAATAGCGGTTAACTAATGTTTTATGCATAAGAGTAATAATAATTAAATCACAATCGTCATCATTTCTCACTGTCAAATTAATATGGATGTGATGGCTTGTTGCCAAATAAGATAATTTGCAGATTGATGTTTTACCTACAAACTTTTGGTGTAACTCTAATTTCGAGTGCGCTTAACTAATTGCGCTCTTGTATTTAATGAGTTTCTGACTGATAGACTTTAATCTAATATATAAAATTCTCGTGTCACAATGTTCATATCCCATACTCCTCCGAAACGGCTCGACCGATACTTATGAATTTTTTATGCTTATTCAGTAAGTCTGAGAATCGGCTACTATCTTTCGAACCCCTATGAGGGGTCCACCCAAATTTTTTTTATTTTTTTTGTTTTTATTTTTTTATACAGCATACAAAAATATATACAACCCCTAATTTTCGCCCCTCTACGATCAACCCCTATTTTTATTATAATAGATAATTATTTTTATTGAACTAAAAATATGTTTCTTAGAAATAATATATATGGCAAAACAACGTTTTCCGCTTCAGCTAGTTTCTTTATAAAACTTAAGTTTATAATGTTTATGGTAGGGGAGCCCAAGAGGGGATTTCGGGATTTACTAAAGCGCGGCAGATTACTATATAGGGGGATACCTTGTACCCGGTTAAGTACCTCCACAAAATATGAGGCCCATATATAAGCCCGCTGAAGGAGACAGGATCAGATTAGTAAAAAAAAATTGACCATCAGAAATTCCCGAGCGCGTCAGATTAAGGTAGGGTGAGTTAATTACATCCTAAAAAGTGTATATTCCACTAATCTGACAATTTGAGAGTGACGGAAAAAAAGGGGAGGGCAACAAAGTTGTAAAAAAAAACGTCATCTCGACATTCTCGAGCGTAGCTAATTTTTCTTTTATTTTGAAGGAAATAATTCCAGAATAATGAAAAATATATAATCTGACGATTTCCGCAAGCCGAAATAACAAAAATTCGTCGATAAAGTTAAATGCGTGCAGCTGCGTGATGCCTACATTTCCTTAAACCGATCGGAATCTACTAAACGGCGTTCAAAATATTTCCCTCAAAATTACATTTCCTGTGAATTTGAACCGATTCGGACCGATAGATTTTGAGAAATTTTGAAAAATCTTAAAAAATAAGAAATATTTTTTTTAAGTGGTTTCTTTATCGATCAACTTCAAAAACTAATCCGCCTTTGAGCTTGAAAAACCACGTCGATCGCCACCAAGCTGGTCAAAAGCGGTTGATTCGTTCGAGAGATATCGTACATGAAAGAAACCCGAAAAAGTGTTTTTTCGGGATTACTCCGAAATTTGTGGTTCGATCAATTAAAATTACTTATGAGAATGATAAAACTGCGTCGAATGCCGCCAACCGCGTGAAAATTGCTTGATCCATTCAAAAGTTATTGCGGTTTGAAAATTCCAAAAATAGTGTTCTATGAAACTTCTATCAGACTTTCGAGCTGGGAGAGCTCAAATGCATAGAAATGTTATTTCTTTGAACTCAGCGAGCTCAAAATATCAATTTTAAGCGCCCAGGAATGGAATTAGCGGGAAGTTGCAGGGATGGCCCTTTAGGTGAACCGTTTTTCTTTATTTTTTTGTCAGATCAGGCGAATCCCTCTAGATAATCGTCAGATTATGAGACAGTACGTTTAGAACATAAAGATGAACCACATATATCTTAATCTGACGCGCTTGAGTATTTCAAAATTGCGATTTTTTTTGCAAATTAAGAAAATGGCTGTGGGTTTGCGTCCCATCGAAATCGTCAGATTAGTGAATGAGAGATTTTTTTTGGTGCACTTAACACTCCCTTAGAAAATCTGACGCGCTCGATAAATATTTTTTTTTTTAATTTTCAACCCTTAAATACAACCACCCGCATCATGCAAACGATCAGATTAACATACGTACATTATTAAAAATACGTAGGGCATAGATGCTATCAATATCTGACGCGCTCGAGGATGTCCATGCAACAGTTTTTTTACCCATATTTAACTATCTATAGCCGCTTCCCCCACCGATGAAAAAGGAATTTATCATATAACATTTTTTCTTCTTTTATCTAAGCTTTGTATCCCAATAGGTCTTTACGACGCTCGAGGTAAATCCTTAGCATCGTGGGCTCTATAATGTTTAGTACATTCTCATAATCGCAACGTGAAGCCAAAGCAAATATAATAAATAAATAATGTATCTTATAATAATAAATATGTATAAGAATAGAATTAACTTTAATAAAGCATGCCCTCTCACAACATTGCTGTGCCTAACCAAGGTCCTTATTGTAATAAATTATAAGGTGTCACGTGTAAAATATGAACATAAGGAATGCAATAATGAATGGAGTTTATTCTTTATAAGTATTAATATTATATTTTTTTTTGATTTGGTAACCATTTTAAGTAAACAAAATGTCAGTGTGTTTCAAACAATCACATAGTTCTAGAAATAAGAGGTTTTCATAATTCTGCTAATATAATAATATGATATGCTGCAGCCACTGTTCTGGTACCGATAATTTTTTTTTCTTAATATTTCTCATAATAATTTTCATCTTAAAATATATTTTTTTCTTCATTTTTCTGTTTTGTAATGTGTACATCATAGTCTCTGTATTCTCTAATACATGCCTTCAAAATACATAAATATCGGAATCTATGTGATAGCGTTGGAATCAAGAAAAAATTTCATATACACACGTTGTATGTTAGTCAACAGGATTTTGGTAAACAAATAGTCATATCGAGATGAAGTAAAATTAAAAAAATTGGGAACTTAGGCCACAGACGAATTCATGAGATTCATAAGAATCGGTTTAGTAGTTTTGGAGATCCCATTTTGAGCATTTAACATACAATATAGGTCAATGTAGATATGTACTTGAAACTGGTTGAATTTTCCTTAGTAACTTCTACTCTTACAGGTTTCAGTGAATAGTTTAACATATATTGGTAATCATACCGGTTCTAGGTGATAATCGCGGCGCAGTTTCCACTGTAAATGTAACATGCTCTGATCTGCCTCTTATATTGGCTGCATATACAACAATACGTAAATGGCGGTTGGCACCCAAACGCCGTAGATTCCATACTGTCAGTGAATTCGTTGAATTGACTACGAGGCCCTCGTTCGCCCATACTTCCGCTATGTATGTACAGGGGAGGCCGCCCTCGTAACCTGCAAGAATAATAATTTTTAGACTTAAATAATTTTTTTTTAACTTATAGAAAACATTATATACGAACATTTACTATTATTATTTAGTAATTTGTTAAAAAAGGAATTTTAGACTAAATTACACTTGGAAAAATATATTTCTGTTAATATTTACTTGAATGAACATTTAGATAATATTCAGTTGTGATATGTGATATCTCGTACTATAAGAAATGTATTATTATTATTAAAAAAAGTTGGATTACATTGACTGAAATTATAAGAGGAAATATACGAAGTACGTTTAATAAATACGTTAACCATTTATATTTATTGCGATATCGTAAAGTACTATAAAAATATTAGACTCATACCACTAGTTCATGATATATGAAAAAAAAACGTTTTATAGGCTCGTCACGGCCAATTTATTCAAAGCTAGAGCACAAGCCGGAAGCTGCCTCGCTACCAACACGGTACGCATTAGACAAATGCTAACAGAACTTTAGCAACGCCACAACTTCTTATCGAACATGAATAATGGGTATAACTGTGACACGTATTGTGCAATTGTCCCACTTACATTTGCTTTATTGCAGAATTTACTTTTATTGAGGTCAAGAGGACAATTAAATTATATATACAACAAATAACAAATTATAAAATTGACAAATAATCTGGTTTTTTTAATTCATATTATTTTAAAACCAAAGCTTTTAAGATATTCATTAATTTAATATGACTTTTAGCTAGACAACACATCTATTTATTTTTAGATTTAATTAAATAGAATTCTTAAATGGCCGGCAACGCACACGCGAACCCTCTACGGAGGTATCACTTAACATCAGGTGAGCCTCCTGCCTGTTTGCCCTCTGCACTATAAAAAAAAGATATTTTGTCTCTTCTGTCTTGTAAAAATATCTCCCCACTATAACATTTGTCGTAAAAATAATAAGGAATGATTTTAATATGCATGTGTATTATATAATATTTTCAAAACTCACTTTTATAACTATCAACATTTAATAACATACATTCATTAAAACTATATTTTCTTATTTAGAAGCGTGCTGAGTATGCGAGTGTTATGTGGTCTCCATATTATACAAAATATAAAAAACAATAGAAAATATACAAAAAAGTTTGTAAAATTCCTTAGTTTTAAAAAATACCAATCTTCGATAGTTATGCTCATTCTTGCACTTATTTTAATTTAGACTCATTAGAAAGTCGGCAAGTCAAAACCTCTTTTTTTACATGCTATTCTTCATGGGCGGATCGATAGCCCCTATTTGCTGTCGTTAATTTCTTTTAAAATTCCTTCTCAATTCACAAGACACTCAAAATTGTTCCATGTCCTCTACGAACTCAATTACCTCATAATTCACCAATGTTTCGGGTTTTATCTAACTATACACTAATTATAGGAATTTGATATTTTCCACCTCAAAGGAATTAGAAAATATTTGAAGGGGGAAGGAATTTTGCTTAGGTTGTATTTGGTATTATTTTTTGTTTTAAATATTAAATTTCAGTTTTCTGTATATATTTTTTCTATTGATGCGCTTATTTGTTTCATTTTTTTTATATAATATTGTTTATCTATGTAATCTGTTTTGGCTTTTTGTACTGTATAAGTGTTTGTTTTGTAATATTATGTATGTTAGCTGTAAGATTACTTATAATTAAATAAATAAATAAATAAATTATAATGTTATGTAAGATGTTCATAATATTTATATATTTCTTCTTATAACTTAATACAATACAATGGGTTAACCCAATCTTAAGCCAATTGCTTAATAAGCTTTTCTTCCTATGTACGAGTACGACAAGAACATATTTTATTCATGAAGAAAGCTGTAATTCTCATTACCATACATATCATATTATTGATTTATTTCCAATCTATCGTTATATCTGAGACAAAGCCACACCACCACAATTGTAAACCAATACCTGATAGGCACGTCAAATCCAGGGAATCGTCAGTCAAGTTGTATACAGTGCAATTGGCTGGGGAGTCGGGCCGTGTCGCCGGCAATAGGGTGTAGACACAAGGAGATACTTGTTGCCCGGCAAGGTTCGTTGCCCGACAGGACAGTGTCCCATAATCTACGTCAGATACCGGTGTGTAGGTTAACACCGATCTGCCATCCTTTGCGTGGACTGTGAAGCGCTCCTGTAGGAAAAAATACGGTTGTTTATGGTAACTTTTGATTCATTCATTAGATTAGAAGTAAGTCAAAATTATATTAAAAATATGGTTGGTACGTCTGTAATAATAATGTGCATTTGGTAATACAAAAAAATAGTGATGTTACTATTGGTCTTGGTCTTAATTATGTATGTTTCAAGTTAATTTTCTTCTAATAAGCAAATAGGTTATCTTTTTAGATCTAAGGAATGCCGGGTTTCTCACGATGTTTTTCTTCGTACGAACGAGTCTAAATGCGAAACGTGCACGACGCACGTCTTACATCTGAATTACAATGCGCAAAAGAATATTATACGTTGTTATAATATACGGTATGGTACTTTTTACATTTTGCTCACTCAGGCTTTCTTATAAGCGTAGCAGTTTCCTAAATCGTCGGAGCTACACCCCGAGTATACATAAGGAGTCTTACGCGAGAGTATAGCCACACGTAGGCACTCTCTTCGACTGTTACATTGCATTCATCCGTTACATAGCAATTAACATTTCATTATTTCGTTTATATTCTATTGTTGTACGCGAGTGGTTAATATTGAGAAAAACTAAAATCCTTTATTATTTAAAGCACCCCGAAACACACTGTAAAACATAGAGAGATACTCTAATAATATGTATATTGTATACCCTGTTCTCTGAATAATTTTTGCAAATAAAGAAATACAAATTCCGTTCATTTTACAAATAAATAACGATACAACATATTTTAAATGAAAACATCAGTTATTTTAATTAGACAAAACAATGAACGATGAAAACAAAAGACTCCCATTTCCCTGAAAATCTAATACACTTCAATTTCGTAAAGTTAATCTGGTCGCCACAAGTTTTGTCAAGAAAATGTGCCCCCGACCGCCTCCAACGTCGCTGTTATAAAATCCTATTAATTTTCACACCGCAGAGTTTGTACTAGAAAGTTTGATCAAATTTTTTAACTATTCTACCATAACTTGTAACATTTACAAGCTTTTAGAAACTTACAAGTCTTTCATCAAAATTAATTAAACTGAAGTTGACATTTTCCTCTTACTGATCAGATTTTCGTATAAAAAATATAAATAAAAGACATTAATAGGGAAGCTGAAACAAAACTTTCATTGACCTGTCGGTCCAGATATCGGTGGAAAGGCACCGTGGAGAGTGTATTTCGCGAGCTCCAAGTGGCCTATTGGCAACCAGCAGCGCAGTGGCATTCTCTTGTCTTGGAGGCCAAAACAATATGTAAGTATTTACAAAGGTTACATTTTGTTTTTTATCAACTAAATTTGGGATTTTATTTATTTTTTTTGCCTTATAGTTAGTCAAGCAACTCAACATTGAATCCTTAACCACAGTGTACAAGAACTAGCATGTCTTAGATTAAAAAATCAAAAATCCAACACAAGTGGCCTACTATCTATTCCGTTTAACGCTAACGTTGCGGCGTTATCGAAATCAAATTGGTAGGGTTGTCAAATGTTCTGTGAATTCAATCGTACGATAGCAGTCGAGCTTAGTCTCTGGCTTTGTTAGTTACTGCCAGACTAGAGTAATTTGACATTTTGACAAGAGAACGCGGTAAATTAATTTTTGATAATTTTGTTGTAAGATGTATTAGAGTAGCTACTATTGGAACTCTACTAACGAAATAAATTTAATTAAAAATGTCACTTCCCTTCAGTTTCTAAAGAGTTAATCGTACGATGCTGTAAATTCGTTTCTTAGAAATCGTGGGCTATATTCGATACGATAGGTCAAATTACACATAACAAATAATAAAACCAATTAATTACTAATCTAAAAATATATTTTATTTTTTTCCTTTTACTCGCTATCCTAACTTCCTTCAGTGCCATTGATCGGAACCCTTTACGGTCCTTAAAAGTCCATCTATCTGTGCATCTTGCTATATGCCCCCCGCAAACAACATAACGTAAACAAATATCAAGGGTACATTTTTTATGATGGCTTGGATGGATACTTTAAACTACGTATCGCTAATAACGTTTGTTTAGGGGGGCAGTCAAGAAGGGGACCAAGCAGCCCAATAAAAATTCTGTTACTAAGGAAACGGACGGTAATTATTTATTTAAAGTGAAAAAATAATCTATAAACCCACATATAGGGAATATGTGTATACAAAGGAATATGTATATGTGTCGCAGCCAACTAGATTAATTAGCCGTAGAATTAACAGTCTAGCCGTTTAACTAAACGGCGCCTTTTAACTAGCGGCCTGAAAGATGTTCAGCCAGTTGATTAAACAGCTAGGCAAATGACTTAGATCTTAACTTAAGCAATTTAATTTTAAAAGAAATATTTGTTATGTCATATGTTTATCTTTTTTATTTCAGTTAAACGGCACTGTTTAGTTAAAAGGCTAGGCTGTTAATTGAACGGCTGATTAAACTAGTTGGCTACGACATATTTACGAAGTAGGCATTAATGAGTGACGCCACAAAAAGACGTTTTTCATTTGTCGGTCCCATGTCAAAGCGTCTTTGAAGGAGCGATTAAATAAATTTATCTCAACAATAAATTTTCGCTTTTATTCCTAGCACTTATGATCTCTTTTGGTCTACACAGTTTTTACCATAAACATCGCTTTGTATGCAGTGAGCCCCGATTCCTACATATATTTGCGTAAATACAAATCAAAAGTATCAGTGGACTGTATAACACCCTTTTCATACATAAAAGGGTCGTAATATTGGGATAGACATGACAATTGTTCTTTGGGAATTCGTAAAATATTGAGAGATGTCACGAGACATTTTTAGAGCACTTTCACAGTTATGAAGAACGGTATACTTAGGTGAAAAATGCCATAACATTTTTAGGTTTTTGTTTTATTGCTAAGTATGGTGAGCATAATGCAAATATGGGTGTTCTTCAAAACCAAATAATAGAATGGAAATATTTTGTCAAATTATAAGAAAGACAACTATTATATTTTAATATTTAATAATTTGTACAACATTGACGCATTTTTATCTAGCCTTAAACTAGCATTTTATCGTATATGAAATAGCTCTTAGAAATTGAAGTATAACCTATTTTTAAGACGTTCCAGATCACTACAAAGTTTTAGGTCAATTAAAAATTTATTTCTTTCATAAATTGATGCTAACAGCTGTTATAAATTGTAAAAGTTGAACTGAGCTGTCAATCTCGATGATTTATTTGCTTTTTGGTGAAATAAACACTTGATACGCGAAAGTCCTATACAATTTATTTTCGTATATTGAACAAAACCAATTTATTGGAGAAATACATACGTTTAATGTTTTTGAGGCAAACGGGGTAACTTTGTATAATGTGATAACCGCCTCCCATAGACGCCAGGGACTAGCAGGTGTGTTGGTGACCTTTCTAAGACTGGTACGCTCTTTTCTTAAAGGCCCCTAAGTCATATCGGTTCGGAAATATCTCTACTGGCAGTTAATACCACGAAGAGGTGGTCTGCAGTAAAAAGCGCTGTGTAACGCCAGGAGTCGAGATGAAAAGGATAGAATATCGAATTCTGGCTTGACGTCCGATGATGGAATTCAACCATATTCGTTCAAATAATGATTAAACGAACTTCCCATGATTAATCCAGCAGCTGACCGAACCAACATTTCTACGCAAAGTCAAATTAAGGATCAAATCGATCAAAAAGAGCAACGAATTGTCAACGTTTCGAGTCGTCCTGCGTTGGATGTGTTCAAATGAAAGAATTAATTAACTAAGGAGTTGTAAAAATTTCGTTGAAATAAATATAAATAGTTTCGTACGCAATAAGCTATTAAAGTCAATTTGAAATAGCCAAGAATCAAATCTACCCGAAATTAGATTCTTGGGAATATTTATATTATTTTTGAATAAACAACCATTTATTATATACTTGCTGGACTCAACTTCGTCTGCGCAGGATTAGTATTTCGAGTAGCTTATATTAGCGTGGCGTAGAAATAAACTACTAAAGATATTGACTATTTAAGATCAAGATTTCCATCATACATTACATATGTATAACTCTAGCGATTTTGGCAGCGCACGCCAGACTAGCTTGCAGATGGTATATTTTTTCCTAATTGATATTTTGGACAATTCACACAATTAATAAATTGTAGCCTTTCTGTTATTCGGATGCATATACGTAAGCTATATTATTGTAAAGTTTCATTGAAATCCATTCAGTAGTTCTTACGTGAAAGAGTACGTTTATAATATTAGTAGGATAAAAGTATTCCAACTTTACCAAAAGTATGCTTTTGCAACCCAAGGATATTCAAATATACAACAAGCAATATCTAAATGTTGGTTTAGTTTCTTGTTATGATAAAAAATAAAAATAAATCAGTGGCGCTACAACCTCTTTAGGTCTTGGCCTCAGACTTCTGAATCTGTTTAATGATCATTTTAAAATCTAATAGGCAAATAGGTGATCAGCCTCCATTGTGACTTTTTGGGTCTAAGACATGTCGGTTTCGTCACGATGTTTTCCTTCACCGTTCGAGCAAATGTTAAATGCACACATAGAAAGAAATTCCATTGGTGCACAGCCGGGGATCGAACCTACGACCTCAGGTAAGTGAGTCGCACGCTGAAGCCACCAGGCCAACACTGCTCTAGTAATGATACTCAGTACTAATTAACGACAAGTCTTGAGATTGCTAATATTATAAGCGTGATGAACCGCATAATAAACGGATTAACAGATTCCGCTACTCACCGCATCGACCTTTATAGATCCGGCGGAGTTATTGAGTGTCCACTCAAAGGTGTCGGGAGGGGGGAAAGCGTCAACTTGACATTCGACACTTGACGGTTCTTGAAGCGCCGCGCCAATCAGTTTGATTTCACGACTGTGGCACAGTGGTCTATCTGTGAACAAATTTGTTTAATATTAGTTAGTTAGAACAATTAATTTATCATGATGACAGATTAGGTTTATTTAAAGCATAATAACTATTCATTAAATTATCAATTGAAAATTATGAAAAATTGTATTACAGTAAAAGTAAATAGTATTATACGTGTAAAATTAATTCTTTAGCAAAATTTTATTGATATTTCTTCTGTGACGCTTTTGATTTTTGGCTCTAAGGTTGTGATAGTTTCTTCCTCTGCTCAAACGATAGTTAATTCCCTATACAGAAGCATAAATTTGTGCACAACCGAAACTCGAACAAAAAGTGTTCGGTTTGTAAAACGGACGCTTAATAAAAATAATATTTTCATTTGAACGGCTTTAATGAAATACAGGTTTTATATATTTTCTAGGTAAAAACCCTTTGTTTTGTGATTTTTATGAAACGAACATACTTTTTTAAAAAGGTTTTTTTTTATAAGTATTAAGTCCTTCTTCAATATAATAAACGTATTTTGTTTTAATGAAACCTTGTTAAATTCTTGGCCATTTTCATTACTGGCTTCAAAACAAATCCAGTAATTTACCTTTAAATCGTTCACCATATCTAATTGATTAAATGATCCACATTGAATCTCTTTGTGATCCAGTCTTGAAATCAAACATGCTACACAATGGACGTCATTTTGCTTTGATAACCCAATAGATTAGATAGCATTTTGGCCAGTCTATTGTACTAAATAAGTGAGAAATTAGGACCATTATGACCTATTATTGATTTTCTATTGATTGATAAGAAAGTGCCAACAATTATTTTAATACGGCTTCGTAATCGGCAAAAAGGATAGGACGGTTATATCATCGTTGAAAATGACACACACAGACGAGAACGAAAACAAAAGACGTAAGAATTATTTTAGTTACGAAAAAAGTAATTCAAAACAATAAACAAAACACTGGGGATTACAGCTCCAATTAATTAACCATATGTTCCTTAAATCGAGACATCATCTATAGAACATGATTATTTGAAGTTCAGATATTAAATAAGATATATTTTGGTCTCATAAAATACGAATGATGTAATCAGATCAAAGGAAAATGCATCTCTTATGTATAACCTTTAGGTTGAATCCAGCATATACGCTTGGATGATGGGGTTGTATGTACGCTTGTTAAAGATTTAATAGCCGTATGGTTGAGAGTACTGAGTACCCCAAGCATACCCCTTAGCCAATGGTTTCCGCACGGAAAATGCGACAAGAATTAGAGATGTCACTGGTTAGGTTTTTTGTTTATTATACTTACAGACAACTTGCATCCTCAATGGTGGAGACTTGCCGTCTCCCTCTACGTTAGAAGCTGTACAAGTATACAGCCCCGCTTGATGTCGAGACACATTTCGTAATGCGAGATTTGTGTTGCCTGTCAGTATCACGCCGTTCGCTGCGTTATGCTGAAGTAGAACGCCCTGTGAAATTAGAATATATTTAAGATATATACTTTTTGAAGAATCATGGCATATATGGTTTTTAATAATATATTTTAATCATGATAATATTAAAATAACTTCCGACAAGTTTGGTCAGGGGAATTATCATTGGCATTTTAAAATCCTTATTAATGACCGCTGTCTCAAAGTGTAGTACGAGGAAATTAAGTAGGTACTCTTTTAAAAATTATAAACTGACTAAGGAATTGATTTTAAATATCCTAAATAAATACCCTCATCTCTTAGGTTCGTAGGTGAACATGTGGAAACGGGCATACCTTAGGCCCAAAAAGGCGCATAAGGCTATTCGACTATTAAAAAAAACAAATGATAGATAAAGAGGATATAGATCAGATAAATCTGATAAACCTAAACAGTGGCGGCAGTGCTACGACACTGTTTTTTTAATAAAAATTCATGATGAGGAACAGAGATTGTAAAGATCGTCAATCATAATTCATATGGTACAATTGCTTCGGTAAAGATATTTCAAAGTCTGTTTTATTCATTTAATCTCCTAAAAATTCCAAACGTAACCTAAGTTTAGGTAAGCCTAGTAACTTAGTAATAATTCAAAAACATACCCTGATCTATAAAATCTCTGAAAATATGATTTCCTTCGCATCATTATCGTCTAAATATTTATTTTTAAAAACGTAGATAACCCCATTAGTTATCAATTCTCTTAAACAGACCGTTTTAGACAAAGAAAAAGAATTCTGAGTCAAGTTAGTTGAAGGAAATTATTATTATTTAAATTATATAAAATCTTTGAAAAACATAGATTAAAAAACACTGCAATTATAATTTCAATGCAATTTGTCGAAAAATTAACCACGAGATTAAAGTTTTGATATTAAAGCTTCATCAAAAATTGTTCTACGAAAAACTAAATGTTTCCACTGAGCATACGAAATTATAACCACAAACGAGTTTATTTAAATGCAAATTGTCATTAAACTTTAGAACACCTTTTGGAGCTAAAATAATTTAGATTAGAATTTTTAAATGACATCATGATAGAAGGCTAATAAAGAGAGCAAAACGCCTAACAGTGTGTCTATATAGCACATGTTTCTTGATTAAACTATTGCGTTATGACAATCAATAATAAAAAATATTAATTTGAAATGCCTTCTATAATAATTATGATTTTGTATAAGATATCATTAGTGATATGTTTAACAAAGGTACGAAACTAAAGATCCCTATTTTAAGATGTTAATGTCAAGAATCTGTGTAAAATTGCCAAATGTTTAAATTATCTTCTATGGGACCAACAAAGTGTTGAATAAATTACGCATTTATATAATATATACTTATAACAGTAGCCAATTACAGAGCTTTCAGAAGACATTATAGTTAAGAGCTTTTATAACGCCGTCGTTCCTCAATTTTTGCGCATAGAGAAATCGCGGCAGAATAGAAAAATGAAATAAGGCTTTATTATGAGAATATAGGCTTTAGTTGTAATTTTTTTTATATTTATTTATTTATTATATACATGATCTTAAATAGAAAGAAGTTGGTGTGGTGGAAACACAAACTGGACACAGTTAAAATTGAAACAGAATGATTGGAATTTCGGACATATACATTAGTTGGAATCGTTTCGCTCTATATAACCATTGAATGTCAATCAACCACAAGAATGAAGCTATGATTGATATATTAGATACTGTAATTAGGCTTAACATGCGTTCAATGTTACATTAGCCATATGTATTAAGTATTAAATTAATGAAACGTTGTAAAACATAATAGCAAATCTGAATATTATGGAAATTAATGTTAATCAGATATATATATACTTGGTTCAATATACAAAGTAATCATAATTCTTAAATTCGAATACAACTTAATTCTATGAAATAATGCAATAATCTTCCATATAAGAGATGTCTGACAGGTAACTTAGATATACTTTTTATAATTTTCAGTAATAATAATGTATATATAGCGCGCAAGAGAAGAGGTAAAATGAAAGCATTAAAATAAAAGTATTAAACGCGATTAAATATTTAAAAAGTCAAACAATACTTATAGTTGATTAATGAAATTTAATAGAATGAAACCCTAATTTAAATAACAGAAATATTATATTCGTTTGTTATATTTCTACTAAAACTTCGACGGAAAATAAGCTTTTAAACAAAAATAATTAAATCCAAATCGGGTCAAACTTATAACACTTTTACGTCTGGGGTAAAATACTGTTAAGTTCTAAATAATTCTCTTGTATTTGTTAAACGGTCCGATATAATAAATACTATTCAAAGTTATCATTTGTCTCTTCGTTATCACGTTGCGTTAAAGGTCTACTAATAAGGCACAGTTTATTAAAGACAAATTGCACTCCACCAATCATATTAATACGAAAGAATTTGTATGACTCAAATCTTGGCGATTGAAAAGAGTGGTGGAGAGCTTCTTGCCCGCTCAACGCCCTTGATTTGCTAACTGGTAGTAAATTTAATTTTATAATCAATTTAACATATTTTCTTTTGACGTTCCTAAGTGTACTTGGTTGCCTATATGAATAAAGTTATTTGGAGTTGAACAAAAGAAAGTAAATTTACCAGAAAGGTTTTATCTTAAAATAGAACGAATTAATTGTATCGGAACAATATTGGTTATTTTGTTTGGTGGCACAGAGTTAATAAAACGTTCAATTTTGTCGTGTTAATAAAAACATAGGAAGCACAATGAATACTGAATATTTCTGACAGTAACATGAATAACATTCGTAATTGATGTAAAATTTTACCAACCATTTCTGCCGTGGTTCTACATTTTATTAAAACAACTAGAAAAATAAAAATAGGTAACAAATAAGGAATTTATGTTTCAATAATGTAGGAAGAGGATGCTTGCTTAAGTAAACGCAAGCCCGATTTAATACCAGAGTACCAATATTCGATTTCTAAATATTTATCAACAATCAAAGCCTCATATTATTCAATATCTCCATTGTAATCTTAATTTTGTCTTCATTCGTTTAACCGCGCTGCAGTTGTTAATTTATTGTATTTGTATTAGTTTATCTAAATATATAAAACAAAGTCGTGTTAGTTACACCAATTATAACTCAAGATCGACTGGAATGATGTTAGTTATCTCTTTTTTGGTGGATTCTTCTCCGCTGCGAAAAGCTATATATATAATAAGTAATATATATATAATAAGTTATCGAATGACAATAAATAAATTGCAAACAGCATGTGCCATCTGTTGACAAAACTACGCATCATTTTACATCGAATTCGTGTCAGTTCAAGAAATTCCGATCTTGAGGTGAATTAGGAGATGCATAACCAGGCTTTGATCTTGATCGAAGACATGTGTACCTCATCAAAAAATGTTGTATATCAGAAAGTGCTTTGACATGCAGTATCCCAATATTGGCGCTAGAGAGAAGAGGCCTAATGTGTAAAACTGCCATTCTTCTTTCGCACTAAAGCATTTCAAAGTTGTATTAATGTTAACCTTAATAAAATCCTAAAATAAGTTTAACTTAAGTTAACACGATATTATAAGACTATGAGATGGAACGAAGTTCGCCGGGTCAGCTAGTTTTAAATAAAAACGATATGGACATTTGTGTACATAGACAAAAAAACGGACGATTTAATTGAATGAGAAAGGCTTTAACATATCTTTCAAGTGAGTATAGACTTAAACAGACCACTTACATTATGCTCCCAGACCACTTTGTAGGCTGGCGGGTTGGCGTCAACGTCGCAGCCAAAGTACACGTCATCTCCTTCCTCGATGTCATTCGGGTTCACGTTCGCGCCGAGGTGCATTCTCGCCTCAGGCACGTCTATTCAAATATTCATTCTATATCAAATTGAGTTTGCTTTTTGTATCGGAATTTTCTCGAATATTTGAGATTTGATAGACTCCGCGATATTCACGGAGCTGGAAAATTAGAATTTTAAAGCGATTGATTTTGAATGCCTTCATTTTAGACATATATGTAAGACTGACAGTATTAGTTTCTTGTAATAATACTGACGCTATTAGGTTCGTTTCCCGGAGAAATAGTTTATAACAATTTATTAATTTTATTAGTTGAAATGCACAAAAGTTTTAAAATCATAAATACATCAAAATTCAATCAAATTCAAATAATGAAATGACTGTTATGGTGTATTTGGTTTCCAATTTTATAAATATAATATAAGTTAGAAATCGTTATATGCTTTATAATTTTCGTATTGAATCTACGTAGAAAATAAATTTTAAAATGTGTGTGAGAAACCCACGGAATAATTTGCTATAAATTAGGCGAAAACTGTTCAAATTAATTATAAGCAACATTATCAATATTAATTACTTTAAAACTTGAAGGATTTCGTGGGATATCATCGAATTGATTACGTATAGTTCGAAGGCTTCGTTCACATGTACTGTGGTTTGTGGTCGTAATTTTAAACTAAACACTTCCTCATACAATGAATAACACATTTGTTGATATCTGATATGAACAAATGTGGGCAACTTAGTAATTGAATCTTTGTTATGTATTTTTATTTCCAAGAACACCTAGAAAGCCTTATATTTATTTAAATTATAGTGTAAGACAACAATTATATGTAATTACGCCCATTATTTATTTTTCTATTTTTTTTTAAGACAATTCACACCAATTGACCTAGTCCCATGCTAAGCTGGTGAAGCTTGTGTTATGGGTACTAGGCAACGGATATACATACATATTATACATAGATAGACATATAAATACATATTTAAACACCCAAGACCTAAGCACAACATCAAATGCTCATCACATCGATGTTCATCTCAGCCGGGGATCGAACCCGGGACCCATGGTTTCGCAGTCAGGGGTACTAACCACTAGACCAATGAGTCGTCTATATTGACTTAAATCTAAAATAGGTATTTTTAAATATTACTTCTTCATTATAATTAGATACCGTTACGTAATAGTACGTTGTTCTTCGTTGAGTTGTTTACAGTCAAGTCAATTGTCAACTCAACTCGGTGCCTAAATAGAAACTTGTGTTGGCGAGCCCAATCGAACCTACAACCTTTATCGTAATGTGTATGCACACGCACTATACACTAGCATTACACAAGCAAGTAGATTCTTAGCAAAACTACACTGAAACATATACTTACCTATAGTTTTGTTTATATATTTTTGTATAGATGTTTATGGGTGATGCAAGAGTTAGCTAGCTTAGTTTTTCGTCCACCAGAATTTTGTGGTGGAGCAACTTTACAAACATTTCTTAATGCCAAGGATATAATAATAAAATAACAGTATAGACACTGAGACGGTTGATGTCTGAATAGTTAATTTGTAACTTAGTAAAATTTACTGTAACTTTTTAATTCAAAGTCGTATTAAGAGCGCGTACTGGTTTCCCGCGTTATAAAAAACATAATTGCTCGCACAAGTACCCTATTATAGCACAAAGCTTGCATTTCAGCTAACAATAGTTCAAAGAGTACTCACAATATATGTTAAGTGGCAATTTACTTTCGATGGTGGATTTGTTAAATTTCTCGTGTTCCGCTCTACAAGTGAGTACTTGTCCATTTTGTTCCTTCAAAGGAGTCCACTGAAGTAAGGACTGTGTCTCGTTTCTGTTTTCTAAATCCTGCAACGATATTACATTTTAAATTTAAAATTTAATATACTGTTTTACTTAAGAATTTATCTAAGAAGTCTTAATGTATATTTCGTTAGATAATTTAAAGTATAGTATTGTCTTTGATTAACATAACCTTTACACATTTAAAGGTGGGGGTGTGGGAGGTACGTGTGTGTTAATCCCCCCTCTCTCCCCGGGGGTGGTTGGGTTTTTGAAAAAACTTTTTAACCGGATTAAAGTTATGTATTATTATAAATTTACAATTATTTAACATAATTTTAAATTTATAATAATACATAACTTTAATCCGGTTAAAAAGTTTTTTTTTAAATTTAAAGTACTTGAATTTTTTCTTTGAAAGTTGGCTTTAGTATAATTGTTTGAAACCACAATTATAATTATTAATATAGCTACTAAAATCATCATATTATGTTTGTTTTCAATTTATCATGAAAATTGTAGCGCCTCTGGGAATATAACATGTAACGTTTTTAGAAGTATTTTAGAATTATCAAAACAAAGTATCTGTACAACCTTAAAACATTCATAATAAGAAACACTTTTTTTTTAAATACCTGACGGCATATTATTTACCTGGGTTGATTTAAACATCCAAGTAAAATTAATATTCAATTTGAATCAAAAGATTCTATTTACAGAATAAATATTTTTTTGGACTTAACTATATATCTATGTTGATTCATACCCGTTGTTTGGTAACTGAATTCAGCTGTTTTCCTCCCAGCCACCACGTTATTGTAGCTGGCGGCCGCGCACCAGTAGACTTGCACCATAGTTCAGCTCTCCTCCCTACTGAGAGTGGTTGCTCTCGTGATACTATTTCTACTGATAACGGCCTCACTGTGAACAAATAATGGTCACTTTGATATAGCAAGAGAGTGTGCATAGTGTCTTGTTATACCAGTTGGACAGCGTTTTTTCAACCCTTAATCCTCATTGAACGTATATTATTACGTATATGTTGCAAGTTTTAAACACAATAATTTTATGACATTCATAAAATACGTTAGTGCAATGAGATAGTACTCATAGGATTTATAGTTTTAATATCATTTGCATAAAAAATAAATAAATAATGGAGGCGGCCTGAGAGAAAATTGTATCAAATAGCAAGTCAGCCAAAATAAAAAAATTATGTTATTATATTTATACATCGTTCTCTTTTAAGATCTATCTAAAATAAACGCCACAACCATTCTAATAAATATAACGAATTACTCCATATAAGGTAATATAAAAAAATTCAATGGCCGCAAGTGTTCGGTAAAGGGTTTTATTTCAGTCGATTGCCAGTAAGTGCTCATAAGTAACGGGAACAGACTTATTTACTTTAATAGCTTCTTTCTTTCTTTGTGCCTTTAATTTATGAATAATAAATGTCAAATACAATTGTTGTTATATAAGGAACGCACAACGTTATATAACTATTTCTTGATTACATAATTTTTCTTATACAAAACTGATAGTCGAGTGTATTCTAATTTAATGATTTTGTTTAAAAAAAATCATGTCAATAATCACAGTCTACCAGATATAATTACATCAAACTAAAGCATATGTTATTTTCACGTCAAATAGTTTTACAATTTAATTGATTTGTAAAATTACAAAAAAACTACATTTTACATTTTCATAATTCTTTAGTCATATTATAAACTAAAATATATTTGATAAAACATTTTTAAATTACTATAACAAACAACAATAACTAACCTTAAAATATATTATTCAAAAGAGTCCCTTTAGGTTTATTATTTGTAGCAATACACTATTTCTATACAACAAAATATCAAAACAAATAATATCAAAAATACTTCGATTTTCTAACTAAAATAAATTGAATATATTAAATAATATAATGGTTCTCGAATGCTTACGTTCTAAGAATGCAATCCAGCTATATCGCAATTTAACATCATAAAAAATAAGTTAGGTTATATGTAAATGTAAAATCACCCAAGCTTAGCAGTTCATAAATGAATTTATTGACGTAGAAAATTATGGAGAAAAACAAAGGAGTGTTTCCTCATTTTACGTTTGAAACAAGTTATTTCTTGGACGTATATTTAGTGAAGTGAAAACATTTTCAGAGTCGGTTCTGAATTCTGCACCGCACCTGCATTCTCCACAGTGCAATTTTTCCGAGTAAAACAATCATTTATACGAAACGTGATGAAAATAGACGGCTGTAGATTTGAACGATTTAATCTTCAGGCTTAGAGAACGAAGTGTTTCTAAAATGAAATCATTTATTTGCCTAATACACGCTAAACTGTCTAGAGAAATATTACAAATTATATGAACTACAACTTAATTATTAACCATGACTGCCGTAAAGTATGTGAAACGTTGAGGAATTCGTGTTTAATAATAATGATTGAATAAAACAGGCGTGGTAACACACCCAATAAAATTAAAAAGGAAATGGGCCGGTTGCTTTTTGCTCGCGACAGATGCGTCGATGGCAGATGGGTCAAAAAGGTCCTTACTTCATCGTCCATCAGGCAGAAAAAGTAAAGAATGCCTACCAAAAATCTGAGAATTTAAAGACACAGCATCACCCCTTCGGAGATCCTTAAACTTAATGTAACTTAAAATTAGTTCTCGAATAAAACCTATTTATTTTATATCTATTTAATATCCATGAACAAAGAATCTTTAGATTAAAATCCAAATCCGAAGAAATGAAACGAATATTACAAGACTTTGGTTTTTATTAAATTTAGAGAAGTTAATTGATTCAAGTTCATTTTTTCTCAACTCAGAAATCTTTTATGAAATTCATACTTATTTATTACTTTTGAGAAGTCGGTGCTGAAACTTTGGCCTTCGAGGCGGTAAATTATTTTTCTAACTTTTTTAATTAGATATACTCGATAAGCAAGTTCTCAAAATCGTTAAGAATGCTATATAAATAATATGATATTAAACTAGCTTTTATTTAATAGAATTTTGGATGAAGGGTTTATAAATCTCAAAAATATAATAAATTCACTTGAAGAAGTTACGTTAATGTATTTAATAAAAGCAAAGTTTTCGGGTAACTAGGTATATAACAATATATAGCAGTTACTTATATTCAATGAAAATTTATGTAAATAGCCTGAATACATATATTTAACAATTGGTATTCATGAAGATGTAATCATAGTGGTTCTTAGTTCCTGCCAACAATTATATACCATAAAGCTACAGTGTAATACACTATTTGAAGTAACAGTCAAAATAGTCTGCTTATATTTTCTACAACAATATGTGTGCCAAAAAGTAAAGTTGACTGAATAGAAGCATTAGCAAATTGATTTCGAGACATAAAAACAACTTATTATTTTACGCAATATTCCTTAATATCAGTCATTTTATATTTCAATTGATATATTTCCGCTTTATTAAAATTCTTAAGGAGTTTTCCTTAAAACCGGATTATTTTGTAAAGGAATCGAACGAAAAAGTATTAGATGACTATTTTTAGAAGACTTTCAAAGGCGAATAAGTCAAGTAATTTATGTTTTTCTTCATACAATAATTTATGATAATAAACACATTTATGAATAATATAAGCACCAACTATAGTTTATTACATAACTATCTGTTAACTATTGAGGAAATAAAATAAAATAAAATTTAGGAAGGTATATTACCTACTTAAAAATATATTATTTCAATACAGTATAAGAAATAAGCGTATAAGAAACTGAACTGATGAAACTACACGCGTTAATTATTCGTAGAGTATTGTTTATACAGCCTTACTCTATATGTAGACACAAAGATAACTTTTAATTTAAATTAGTGATTCCTAAGATAAGCGCTATCAACCTAACAAAAGCTTTATCTTTAGAATATTAAGTATAGGTCACGAGAATTCACTATTATTTAAGTTGAAGCAAAATTAAAACGTAAGAGTACAATAACTTTCACGACGCATTTCATACAATGCCTCCATATTAAATAACTTATGGAGTTAATATTCGAACTCGTAAACATCTGACGCAATAGAAAAGTTTCTAATAAACAAAGCCTGTGACATAGATACAAGCTTTTAATGCAACGGATATTAACTCGGATTGAAATTTCAAATATATATTCTGCTCAATAACAGCTTCAAAGTTTGAATAAATAAAAATGCTTTACCACTGAGCCATAGAAGCAAATCTATAGAGACTATAAAAAACACTTTTATCTATTAAAATATCAGTTTATCATATGTCATTTTAAAAAGCTCCTCAACATTAACAAAGCTTTGTGTTTGTATAATCTAACGATAGTAACTTAACAATGTACATAAGTTATATTCAATAATTAATCACATTTATATATTTTAAAATACCACTAGAGATCTATGAACAGAATATTATAGCTACTATAGTTAACTCCAAGAATTTTCCTTCAAGTTATGCAATGCTTGATTCATATAAGGTTAAACCCAAAGTCGAACTACAAATAAGCACATAGTAAAATATACTCACAATATAAGTCAATTCTCACAGAGGCTCGTTGTGGAGTCGACAACATTGTGTTATCTGCTGTGCAAGTATAGACCGATGATAGGTGAGCCCTCGTAGCATTAGCTATTACAAGTGTGAGGGCTCTAGATGAACTGGGCTGTGCTTCGCCCGCTCCAAGCGTAGCGAGCACCGTTTCAGCTTGAAGCCACTGAACTCGTGGTATGGGGTTGCCTGTAATTTATAAACTGTTTAGTACGAACGATTTATATTGTTAAAATTATTCACGTATGTTTTTGTGATTTAATAGGAAGATTTGACAAAAAGTCAACAACGTGTATAAGGCACATAAAAAAAAAAGAAAATTACTGACGCTAAAACGTTTTTAGGTCTTGGCCTCAGATTCTGTATATGTTTCATGATCATTTGTCAATCTAATAGGCAAGTAGGTAATCAGCCTTCTGTGTCTGACACGCCGTCCACTTTTTGGGTCTAAGGCAAGCCGGTTTCCTCACGATGTTTTCCTTCACCGTTCGAGGGAATATTAAATGCGCACATAGAAAGGAAGTCCATTGGTGCAAATCCCTGGGATCGAACCTACGACCTCATGGATGAGAGTCGCACGCTGAAGCTACTAGGCCATCACTGCTCTGCATAATATTTATATTAACTTAAATTAAATATAACGAACATAAAACCAAACCAATATTTTCAACTAAAACACATTTTTATAGCAAATAATTATGACCTCTCGCGCTCCGCACCAGTAGGCAATAATTCAAGAGCTTTTTCTCCGTGGACATAATAAAACGAAGTGAAATTCCAATTGGTTTAAACGCACGTTCGAGCGCTAATCCCGTTAAGCAGAGGTTATTTTTTAACCAACATTTTCCGTTTAAAATTCAAGAATACCGCTTCAAAAATGGCACCCCTGTCAACAACTACTTACAGCAATGAAGATGAATGATCGAATTGGAAAAGTCTATTTGAAAGTTCTAGTGCAGAGTTGATATGATTGATGACGTAATTAGGCTTTTAGCAATGTGAATACTGTATTAATATTGCCGCGATATGTTTATTGTACTATTGATAACTTATTTCGTATTATATTCATTAATCAAACACATTATTAAATTTCAATATGAATAGTATTTGCTAGTGCATGTCATTAATAAAGTACCTTCTTATAAAATCATCGTTTATTTCAATGTCCTTCAAAATAAAAAAATAAAAAAACTACAAAAATTCAGAGATAAACTATGCTATATATAACGTATTGCAGTGAACATTTCTGCGCATGTTTTCTTTGTAAATTGTCTTTATAGAGAAGTAGGTCATAAACTTTCTGTGGAGCTTTCTTTTGAATATAAGGTATGCCGATAACCTAATCTTTTCTTCGTCCTGTTTTGTGCACATGAAAAGTACATTTGGTTTAAACAGGACCTTAAGTTCAACGCACTGGAATGGAAATAAAATAAAATATTGTTTCAAGAAATGTCAAATCATTCTTTCTGTTTTACTTATTTCACAGTGCTCAAGATGTAATTGTGTAGACGAGTTTTTATTTTAAAAGAATTAGAATTGGCGACTTAACTACGCAAAATCTGCTTCTTTTTAATTTTATACATACAATTTTAATACTTGTCGAATCTCTTTGACACAGTATACATTACTTCAAGTGAACTGAAAATGTACTCACCCCCATCCACAGAGCAAATAAGTTTGATCTCCCCTCCTTCATTGTAAGGACCAGCTACTCCAGTTATTTCCTTCCCGAATTCGTCAAAGATCACCGGCTTAGACGGCAACTCTGAAAGCGTTTGTTATGTTAAACAGTTGTTTATTCTGAGGTGATTTAGTGCGAAGAACGTTTTTATAAATGAGCTGGTGAATATTTGTGAAATATTCGGGCTCAACAAATGCTTTATCTTTTTGTATTTTGAGAATGGTTTGAAGGCTTCATTGTGTTGATAAATAGTCGTGTGATAAGCATGGTTATTTTTCAGTTTAGCAAATAAAATTAAAACTATATTTCTTGAAATAAAAAAACCATTCAGTACAATCCAATGTAGTTTTATACAAATGAAAACCTAGATACTATATATTTAATAATTAAATTAATGTCCCAATCACTTACGAACTATTGATGTTTACGAAATAATAAATGAAGACAGAACCTTATTTGGTACTTTAATAGATTTACCAAGTTAATTATTATATAAACAAAATGTATTAAATTGATGTTTAATGATAATATTATGGTTTATATAACTTTATTATCAATTAAATTCTAACAATTTTTGTGTCGTCTTTCATTTTATGTACAGTACAGTACAGCTTATATGTGATTTTTTACATTATTTTCAATTCATAATAATGAACATTTACGAAGATTTTTAAATATGAAACAAAATGGAATGTGTTTCTAAAATTAGTAATAAGTTAAACTTGAACAATATAAGCTCATTAAAATTCGACTCAATGGCACAAAATAAAAGCTTTTATACGAGAAACTCCGTACCCATTTAATTTCATTTCAAGCGTTTAAGACGTTATAAGACATAAAAACTAAACGGTGTATAAACTGCCACTTAGTCTTTGAAGTTAATTCTAATGTAGTGTTTAATTTGTACCGCCGAGTGACTGGTAACAAGAAGTTATGTATTTATGCGTTTTCAGTCACGTTAATTTTGTCGTAGCGTGTTTATGACTTATCAATGGTCTAACCAAAAATTATTTTCTTAAACAAAAAACACTAGTAGTTCCTAAGATAAGCGCGTTTGTCTTGTTAAAAACTTATTGGATTTTGACAAACATGACAATTTGCGCCAAGTCTCGTTTCTGAATCTCACACTTAGTCAAACATCATTCAAGAGTAGCTGTCATTGTCAGCAGTCAAAAAGGAGTAATATGATAATTGAGTTGTATTATTATTTACTTTTTTATTAATAATAAGGTAAACTTAATATTTGCATTTGTAAATATGTGAGCTCTATGTTTCTACATAATAAAGTTTTTTTTTATAGAACAGGGGGCAGACGGGCAGGAGGCTCACCTGATGTTAGGTGATACCGCCGCCCACGGACATTTTCAATGCCAGAGGGCTCGCGAGTCGTACGCTCTTTTTTTGAACGACCTTAAGTCGAATTGGTTTGAAACAGTGGGTAGCTGGTTCCACAAAGTGGTCGTGCGTGGCAAAAACTGCCTTGAAAAACGCTCCCTTGTGGAACGGCGAACGGGTGGAATTTCGTATTCTGCCTCGACGTCCGATGATGAAACTCAGCTGCAGGTATTAATCCGAACAACTCCTCTGAACACTCTCCATGGTAAATGCAGTAGAAGATGCAGAATGACCCCACATCTCTACGCAACGCCAAATGATCAAGCCGCTCGAAGAGGGATTGGTCGTCGACGATTCGAACCGCTCTTCGTTGAATACGGTCAAGTGGAAGGAGCTGGTACTTAACTACCTTTTGGAAGGGACAACTAGGCTTTTTTTAATATTCTTAGCTTTTATTTTCATGCGTGCCTTTTTTATAGGCCGAATTAAAATAAATGATTTGACTTTTATAATAATTATAAATTGATAATATACATATATAAAACCGAAATAATTATATATTTGTTTTAATATGTAATGAGTAGCCTGCGATCCAAATCTTTTATGAATGTTTTAAATCAATATTGAAATATGAAATATTATTGGTCTAAACTTAGAAATGTAATCTGGGGGCTTACTTGTACTAAAAGAAATATGAAACCGTATTCAAGTAAGAATATAAGTTATTTATAAGTAAATCACATCAAACACCTTTTGAGAAATAATATTATAATCATAGTAAAATATCCACCATTCAGACCTGCAACTGAGAAACGATTGCATCTGAGATCTTTCAATAGATAGTATTTCTTTGATGTTATTACTTGCAAAAGCTTGCTTTCCTCAGGAAATGCACGAATAAAATTATTTTAAGCAAAAATGTATTTAGATATAAAAGGCAGTAGCCCAATAGGTACGGCACGTCTTTTCATTAACCATTGATGGATGAAAAAACACATCGTCGATTTTGTGTATCTTGTCTAAAAGTGGTCACTATACGTTATGATACATTTTTGAAACCTTCTGGTGGGAATATTATAAAATAAAAATAAAAAATGTTTACTATGGAACATAAGATACAGATATCACATATTCGTCATTAAATTTGAATTTGTAGGCACAGTGACCCCAAATCTCTACGCAACGCCAAATGATCAAGCCGCTCGAAGAGAGATTGGTCGTCGACGATTCGAACCGCTCTTCGTTGAATACTGTCAAGTGTAAGGAGTTGGTACTAAACTACTTTTGGAAGGGACAACTAGGCTTTTTTAATATTCTTAACTTTTACTTTCATGCGTGCCTTTTTTATAGGCCGAATTAAAATAAATGTTTTGACTTTTTAATAATCATAAATTGATAATATACGTATATAAAACCGAAATAATTATATATTTGTTTTAATATGTAATGAGTAGCCTGGGATCCATATCTTTTATGAATATTTTAAATCAATATTGAAATATGAAATATTATTGGTCTAAACTAAGAAATGTAATCTGGGGGCTTACTTGTACTAAAAGAAATATGAAACCGTATTCAATTAAGAATATAAGTTATTTATAAGTAAATCACATCAAACACCTTTTGAGAAATAATATTATAATCATAGTAAAATATCCACCATTCAGACCTGCAACTGAGAAACGATTGCATCTGAGATCTTTCAATAGATAGTATTTCTTTGATGTTATTACTTGCAAAAGCTTGCTTTCCTTAGGAAATGCACGAATAAAATTATTTTAAGCAAAAATATATTTAGATATAGAAGGCAGTAGCCTTAGCATGGTCTTTTCATTAACCATTACAATGAAAAAACGTGTTTTGTGTATCTTGTTTAAAAGTGGTCACTTACATTTTGAAACCTTCTGGTGGGAATATTATAAAATAAAAATAAAAAATAAAATATGTTTACTATGGAACATAAGATACAGATATCACATATTCCACGTCATTAAATTTGAATTTGTAGGCATCCCTACTCATCGGCAAAGAAGACAGAGGGTGTAGGCCGAGAGAAAAAGCCGGCGAAAAAAACTCTCGGTACTCTTTTTAAATAGCAAATCATCAAACAACACTTATTTTAAAACAAATATCGCAAATTAATTAGAAGTAGCCTGTCTAGCACTAGTCCCAGGCCCTTTACTAGATAATCGTTAACTTTATAGTTAGCCTTTTTACACAGCTTTTCTTTAATACATTTCTTAAATTTATTAAAAGGTAGAGATAAAAGAGCCTCTGGGATTTTATTAGAAAAAAGTATCCCTTAGTTTGTGTTATGCCTGTTTGCGTGTATAATTTAAATGGGTTGCTGCGATGCTAACTTTTTATAAAGAACTAGCAAACCCGGCGAACTCCGTTTCGCCACCAGATGGCTTCGTTTTATGTAACATTTCGTTTGGTGATCCCGCTTTTCTGTTGAAATTTTTACTGAATTTTCTTTGATATAATATAAACCTCACGGAGCCCGAGACCTTTCCAACGAATGCAAAACCGTGGAAATCGGTTCGTGCGTTCTGGAGTTATAGCGTCAGGAAGGAAAACCCGACTTATTTTTATATAGTAGATGAAACACAACCTCAAAGTTGATAATCACACGCTTCATATAATCAGATTTAGATATGATGATATAATATAACATATGTGTTATACGCATTGCGCTTGCATTCATCAACCGAGATGTTATTAATTTTGTGTCAATCATCAAGTAATTACTCTAAATACGACGCAATCCGAAACCAAATAGAGCCTTCCGATTGGTTAATTAATTATCATGCAGATACAGGCATATATATTTATTATATAAATAATGTTACTTTAAAGAGTGGTAAATTAATAGGCGAGTAGGTGATAAGCCTCCTGTGTCTAACGCACGCCGTCGACTTTTTGGGACTAAGACGAGCCAGTTTCCTCACGACTTTTTCCTTCACCGTTCAAGCAAATGTTAAATGCGCACAAAGAAAGAAAGTCCATTGGTGCACAGCTGGGGATCGATCCTACGACCTCATGGATGAGAGTCCCTCCCCTGAAGCCACTAGGCCAAAACTGCTTAATATACAATTAATACTACAATTATAAAATAACTTATTTAAGTTTCACATGTATTTGCTTTATAAACCCTTTACCCTACCTCCTTTAGCAAAATCTATCCCCCCAATTGTATTGCGTACTTGGCTCCTGAGTTGGCTCCGGTCCTTTCAGTCCGCTTGGCACTGTCCGAAATGCTGGAAGACCGCTTCAATACATTCGATCCTTAAAAATGGGGATGCCTCTGATCCAACTATAGCTTAATAGTCATATCCTTGTTTTCGAAAAGAATAGAAACCATTATCAACGGCCAGCTCCTGGGGTATCTAAAGGGCCACCAGCTGAATAGCGATTGGTAATACGGCTTTTGCCGTGTTTGCCCAGTTGGGGACATTCTCGTATACCTATAGTCAGAGGCTATTGAGTCCAAGGGGGTAAGCGGTTAGATTAGATATCACAAAAGCTTCGATCGGGTGTGGCATGAAGCGCTTCTCTCTGCAACTGGTTTCACGGTGCATATTCCGACTTCTCTATCTCCTATGCCTGACCCTCTTTCTTCTGCGTATCTATGACATGTTGCAACATTCATTGCTATGCGGCTGATAGCACTGGGGATACTCTTTACACTGGCTGCTGTGCAGGTATTTCTCGGGCAGTTGTCGATTCGTACCGGAACAAAGTTATGTCTGAAGTCAAAACTCTGCTACGTGGAGCCTGGATCTAGGGTCCCCTAAATGTACTCAAATTTTACCAAGATATTTAAAAGAGACATAAGTTTGCGCGTTATCGCAACAAAAAAACACCCTGTGTAGCTACTCCTCTCTCCGAAGACACTCTCATTAAAGCCTCAGCCAGCATCGGAATACTGGGCGTTGACATACTGAAAGACCTTCAATTTCGCGGCTATTTAATTAGCCTCTAAAAAGCTTGGTGTCCTCAACAGGGCGAGACGGTTCTTCACTCCGGGCTACTGCTCTTTATAAAGCGCAAATACCACATGGAGTACTGTTCTCACCTTTGGGCGGCAGATCGTCGAAGTGTCGACTGTCTGTCGTTCCACAAAAGAGCGTTACGGCAGTTTTACCGCGCATCACGACCATGTGGAACTAGCTTTCCTCTGAAATATTTCTCTGAGTTAGGCTCTTTCAAGAAAAATTCAAATTCAAACTCTTACAAGGCTGGAAAGGCAGTCGCAAGACCTCTGATATTGAATTCTCACTTAGCATCAGATAAGCCTTTTGTCCGTTTTCTCCCAGTTTTATAAAACAAAAAATAACGAAACTTTAGATATTATAATTTCAATATTTTTTTATGATTACTCGACCAGTCTCAGACTGACCGCTATGGCTGAAAACCTAAATGTATATAGTTGATCGTTTAGTTAGAAGTTATACGTTTAATTTTATTTTTGTATAAAAAATGTGAAATGCTTCACAGAATACACCTTCACTCGAAGTATCATCTGAGTTGTCCTAATAGTTTCAGAATAAATTGGCTGTGACATACAGATATACCGGTTCCACTGTGTGTCAACGAAAACGTAAATATAATAGATTTTTTTTTTAATAACAATTTTAATCATGACTAAAGTATATTCTGAAAATGCATAGAACAATTTAATAATTTAAATCGATTGCAGTCATTTAGAGAGAGTATGCGGGATGTTTCATTATATAATGTACATTCTTCCATCGGCTGTAAAACGTGGGCCGGCTCAATCCAATTTCTATTATCGTAAATAAAATGCCGGAAAAAAGGTGTTCAATGTACACGTTCATTTTTTATGCTCAAGCAGACGTGACTATTACAAGAGGATTTCATAGATTTAATAAGCATATTTAATAAACAAGGTACAACAGTTTATTAGAGAGCGCGGAATAGCGAAATATTTTTTTACCCTGGTTCAACATGTTGTTTGTGTAATTTTTATATATTGTTAGCCAAAATGATCTACCTATTTAAATAAGTGATGAAAAGAATGCTTAGCAAGTATATAACCCTGTTTTTTTATATATACAATTAAAATTTGTCTCAATATCTTTTAAATAGTGATGTAGTTTAAGCCTTAAAAACTAACATGTTTCTGTTTTACGCCTTTTTCATGTTTTTTATATTGTATAGAGACTGTGGCTTAGTTGAAATATATTTTGCCTATTATTTTTTTACTTTATGTCCTTTGGATAATATTATGCAAAATCATAATATTGTAAACAAACCAAACTATGTCAGATGAAACTTTTGCTATAGGCCTGTGTTTTTGTAGGCTTTAAGATTATTATTTACCATAGCTAGTATTATATCCATTCGATTTCTGTGTTTAACATTAAAACATTTATTACATTTTTTATAGATATTATAATTATTCCATATTACATGTGTAGATTAAAGACAATTTAAGTGTAACTAATTGTTTTATATATATAGGGTTAAAAGTTTTATTTAATTGTATTTCGGGCTAAATGTAGTATTTTCCTATAACCCTAAAGGTTTGGTGTTTTAAATATTGATATCACGACGCATAGGTAAGTGATATACTTCCCAAACCAAACAATCGACTCCAATATATTCTAAAAAACTTCCACCATTGGAACGCGACCCTCATAAATATGAAAAAGGGAGAAAATGATGAATGGGGCGATATAAGTTATTCCTCATGTCAATCCATTACCTCATTGTGGGACGCAGGTGCAAACAGATAAGAAAATGTCCTTTCAAAACAATTTTCTCGCTACAAGGCATTGAAGTAAGGTAAATTTATTAGCCAAGGGCCTTGCCGTCTATAACGTTGTGCAACCAGACATCGTTCATGTTTTATCAAGGAAAAACAAGGCGGGAATAATAAGGCAGCTTACCTTATTAACACTATGTGGAACCAGCTGCCTACTGAAGTATTTCTGAATCAATTCGACTTAGGGTCCTTCAAGAAAAGAGCGTACCAATTCTTAAAAGGCCGGTAACGCACTTGCAAGCCTTCTGGCAATGTGAGTATCCATGGGCGGCGGTATCACTTGACATCAGGTGAGCCTCCTGCCAGTTTGCATCCTATTACATAAAAAAGCCACAGGCGAAGGTTTGACTACTTTTAGTAAGATAACACAAATAATTAAATAAAATTTTTCGTATAATGTATGTTATATAATATATAAATATGTAACTATTTAAAATGTTAAATGTAGCAGACGTAGTAATATATTTCTCTATGACATTGACATAATTTATTGCTTTGTTTCAAATAATTGATTGAATTTATCTTATGATTATCTAAGATACGATTTCAGTTAAGATATCAACCGACTGCGACTTTTACTTATACCTTGTTACTGTTTTCGTCTTAGTGACTGAACTTTTACTGATTTTTAGTTGTAACGATGAAAATAATAACAAAATTCATTTGAGTATCTACGTTACTACGTTAATTTTACTATATGTATAAACAATACATATAGTACGCAACATCCAAAGGAATGTATGTCTTTTAGCTTTTAGCTAGTGTGTCACCCGAAATCACTTTTTCTTATTCTCTTGTGGTCTAAGTTATAATTACGATTGCATTTACTCTGAACTGGCATAAATCTGTGTCGTGTCACGTGTAAATAACAC